AGATATAGTTTACCGAGTTACTTATTCTAGCATCGAAGAGTATTCAGATGAATAGTTAATAATAGCTTTTAACAGTCAAAACCTAGTCGCGTTTCGAAAAAGCTTAGTAGAAAATAATTAGTGAACAAGTGCTTTAATTCGTTTATAAAAGAAATTTTTATTATTTCTCTGCGTTTAGATAGCGTATGTATCTACGTAGAAGATTGTTTCAACACTGCAATGTAACCATCTATAAGCTTTTTTTGTTCTTCTCTACTTCTTTCTTCTTTTTTGTGTTTTTGTAATAAATTTTAAATGTTTTCTGTAACACTTTATGGAATCGATGAAGTTACTCTGTATATATATTTTTAATACGCAATAGAGACCGTCCGGACCTTATTATTTTTCTTCTTTTAATTTGTAGACAATACTTTTAATTAGAGTTTAGTATTCGACCCTTTCTGTTTCCTGTCCGTTCATTTTCCTGGAAAATGAGAAAATAGAAATGAATGCAGATACTCTTGAAATCGAAAAATATAAGAGGTAATATATATTAATCATGCTTTTCAGAACATAATTGGCGATGAATAGTGATGGACTAAAAATTTTTAACGCATTGTTATGCATTTTTCAAATTTATATGCTGTTTTAAGCAGACTGTAAAAGATGTTTATTATAAATGCATGATGTTACAAATTCTTATTAGTTTTATGCATTAGCATGCATTATATCATTTTTTCGGGTCGAAATCCATTTCATGCTCAAAAAGAGTACATGCGTTAGATAATTCTTTTTAGAGTCATGCATCTTTTTGATGTAGCATTGTCACTTAATTGAGAATTTTTTTCTTTCATCCTTTTGAGCTGAATAAAAGAATAGCTTTATCATGTACTGAAAAATAAAATTTTGCTCTTTTATCCTCACTGTTTTGGGACAAAGTTTACGAGTCAAATTAATTTCTCTAAGTTACAAAAGAGAGAGCAAAAAAGTTGTCTTGGATTTCACAGAAGAGTTGGTTAATATTAGTATAACTTCCAGTCAAAAAATCATGGTTGCATTGGCTCTTACAGGGACCAAATGCATAAAGAACAAACAAACTTTCTTCTTTATATATATATAGATAATATCAAAATTATCGACTAGTGAAATTCTAATAATTTGTAATATTTTCTTAATTTCTTGTCTTTAATGGCCGAAAAAATTTGAGTTCTCGAATCAATAAATAGGCTTTAGAACGAAGATTGTTTTCTTGTTTTATCAACGTCAACATTCTCATATTTATCCGACAGGCATACGTGTTTCTATTTCCTCTTGTCAAATTTAACAGAAATGCGTTTACTGATGCCGTCCATTTTCACACATTGAACAACAATTTGATAGATCACTTTTGTATTGACATTGTGTGCAGATCATTGCATTTTTTTCGAGGTTCAACTGTTTCTTTCTTTCGACAGTGAGGAGAATGAGAGCAAAAAGTTTTCCTTGTTTGTCTTTAGTCAAGAAATGTTTAAAAAGTGTTCAAAACTCAAGTGACTTCTTCACTTCTCGATAATTGTTGATGTGAATACTTTCAGTAGTGGAGTGGACAATGAAAATGTTTTAGGTCTATATGCGAAGCAAATGCTCATCAATCATGATCGATTAATGTTATAGTTAGCGTTCTTGGAATTATATATTGTAAATATGATGGAGAAGGCGTTTCTGAAAAAGTTGTTAGCAAACTCTACTGACGGTCAATTTTTCTGTCAATTGTAATCTGTGAGGATGACACGACATACACTGTACATCTTCATCATTCTTCGATTCAGTGGATACCATGACATTGTCAATTTCCACTTCTTTTACTCTTTAGTAATTGGAAATGCCTTTACTATACACGTATCTCGTTCTGATTTAAAACGATAAAAGAAATTTATTTTATAATTGAAATTTCGGAGGAAAAAAGTTTTTCCACAATAAATAAAATGTCCAGTTTTTTTTCTTCAACGAATAGGTTGTGATGTGATTGCCGATTGATTTCCACCAAGGGCACTTCCTAAAAATCAAATCAAAAACAGAATCAAACTACACTTTTCATTTACTACGTTTATAAAATATTGGTAGGAAATACTTGTTTGTTTTGTTAAAAGCTTACGCATATGATTACCTCTTGATTGCATTTCTCTTGCTTCTTGGCATACGGCACACGGTCCACAACAGCATGCTGCTACAAGATCAGCTGGTTCTTCAGCAAGGTTATATTTTGCTCTTAATGCTTGTCGTTTGCCCATATGAAGGAGACCGCATGCATAACATCCTTGAAGACAACAGTACAGAATTCCCATACCCACGCAGCTGGAACCATCAATACTCTCAGCATTTTGACCAAATAAACATGGTAAACAAAAATAGCCGCATAAACATGTTTTCATATCATCAAAACATCCAAATAATGATTCTAAAAGGGAGCCAAAATGATCAAATGAAAGAGCAAAGTCATGAGAAATTATATACCTCGCCATTGTTCTTGAGCCATTTTCTCTAATGATTATTAATCTGTTATTGGAAAAGTAAAACGATAGATTAGAACTGTTTGCCCAGATACAGAAACTCTTACTTGATTAACAGAGCAGAAGCGTAGTAACTTACTTACTTTTCTCTTGCAAACTGAAATAGATTTTGAATTTATTTCATCCGTTCAGAATTAAATCATATCTGATGGAAATTTTACCTTACTTTTGAACTGTTATCGTACGTAATTCTTTTAGTATCAATAAAATAAGACGACAATATACGTATGTAAAATGTGTGTCTAAGTGCGTGTTAGACTTTGATTATGATTTTTCAATTTTTTCTAATAGTGAAGGTGTTGCATTGTTGAGTGTTTGTGTAAAAGTTGCTATAGTTGCTCTTGCTTGATCTTTTACTTTTCCAAGATGAAATAAAAAAATCTAAAAATAAATGTAGTCAACGTAAATGCTTATTTTTATTTTTTGTGTTTCATGTTTAACTAACACTAAATGATGATAAAAATTGGTTTAAATAACAATAACATGGAAACACTCATATCTAGTGCTGAAAGAAATTTTTAAAAAAAGATTTTAATAACATGCATTTTATAGCGATGATGAAATATAATAATATAAAAAAAAATGATGGATAGAAAAATATATACTGCGTTTTCCTTCTATATTCATTAAAGTAATAACATAAAGAATGAACAGAATAAAATCAAATGACTGACATTTTTCTATTTGAACATTAGGTAATATATAGAATAATTAAAATAATAAAACTTTTCTCTTTACTTGAAAACGATGGAAACCGTCTTTGTTTTTCAATATCAACCTTGAACTACACGCATACACTTTCTGTTTTTAGTAATAGAAAAAGAAGGAAAAAAGAGGAAAGAAATCTAAAAATCATCTTTATAGTCGAAAAATAATTCCCTAATAAACCTAAACAGGATCGTCAATCATTTTATTTCAATATAAAGTTATAAAATACATGTACAGTTCTGTGATTCCGTTATCGTCTGCGTATAATTCTAGTAGATAACCATTTGCTTCTTGAATGAAACTTGAATGTGTATCTTGAAAACATATAGTTTTGACCAACAGAGTAGCACCAGTTAAGCGTCATTTCATCTTACATTTTTATTGTTAATAAACAACAATGTTTTCTTTCTGTAGATATCCTATGACTTTTTGTTTCATTGATACATGTTTTATTATTCACTCGTTAAAAATTAAATAAAGTCGCTAATCCAAAACATGTTTAAACAAATATCGTGCACGTCAACGGCACATATACATAATTGTAATGGCACTACTTACCATGGATTGTTGTTCTACCAAAAAATCACTAAACAAGAGCTGGTGACAAGAACAATTAATATCTAAACAAGGCAACGGTGGTGTGAAACTATATTTGTGTAAATATGCTTTGGATTGGCTACTTCATTTGATTTCTATCGAGTAAATGATAAAATACGTATTGTCAACCATCAATAAAACGAAAAGTTTAAGGTGACCAGAGAAAGTTAACGCAACTTTGCATTTGAAAACACATATATTTATCATAGCATCAGATGATCAAGTAATTCAGTTTTTTTTGTTTACAATAGCTTTTAAAAATAAAATATTTCATTTCTAATATTATTTATTATACATTATCAGTAATGAAGACATTTTTCATAGATGAAATATTAAAAACGACTGCATCTAAACGAAGTAACATATATATTTTCCAGACGTACATAAATACTAATCATTTTCCCTTTTCGATATCGAGTTTAAAAGAATATGAAATATGGCTGTAAGTTTATGAAATTTAGTATTTTATTAAAAAAGTAGATTGATCAAAACGTTTGAATCCCACGAACAGTACTTCGAATACTATCAAAACGCTGGATAAAAGTGTAATATTTTTATCTATAGATTACCATACAGATGTTTTACATAAATGGAATGCAAGAAAAACATTTGTTGAAAATAATCAGTTGATTTTATTTTCTTAAAATTCGAGAGGCAGGAGACGATAAGACACTTTTTACACAGACACAATCAAATTACTTTTTTCTTTTAGAATTCAAAAAATCAGATAGGTTTTGTGGTTTAGATGTCAAACACATTCTGTTACTTTTTGAGTACGGACGTACATGCAATTGAATGCCGACTGTATCGGATCACTTACAACTCAATAGAGAGAGTTAGGGCTCTTACGTCGGCTAATGTATATCATACTTCCTACACATCCGTGAGGCACAGTGGACAATGATCGGGACATTTGATCAAAGATCGAAAGCGAGCTTTTTTCTGACTTGAATAAGAGTAAATATACCTTAATCTATTATACTTTATTTAATGGTATAAAAGTTTTTATTCTAGATCTTCTGGATCATCGGAAAATTCGTAGTCAATAATTGGCAGAAAACCATTCGCCTGTTGAAAATATTCGGTTTTCTATAAAATCCACAAGGCTTAGCGCCAAAAAAGAATTATATTCTGAAACTAGATACTTTTACCTATTTTCTAGTAAAAATATCTTTTCTTTTGAATCTGTACTTCTGGTGAAAAAAGACAAGTTTTCTCGTTAGTGAAAAATTCACTATAGGTGTCATTGGTGTAATGACTTTCCACAAATTTCCGCAACTTCAGTTTTATTTAAAACCACGCGAGAATGTTGCTCTTTGTATCCTGCATCTATGGTGCATGCAGATTTATGCAATTCTTTTTCTAAGCCATAGAGTTAATTTTCAAAAAACCTTGGGTTTCCAGCTAAATCTGATTTTCTTCGTTCAGAAGCACTTGCATTAAAAAGTCAGATAATATTCGAAAGCACTGCAAAAACTGCATCGAACTATGTGTCAGACACATTTCTAAACAAAAAGTTGATTGTGAAAAAATTTCGTCTAGGACCTAAATTCGAAAAAAAACAACATATTTTGCCAGAAAAAAATTCTAAGTCGGTCATTCGATAGAGCATGTTTGAACACGTGGAAAAGTTCATTGTTGAGGTTGCCAAATTTACTTCGTACTCATGTCCGCCTGATATGTAGAAATCGCTCATTGTACGCGAACAACACATTCGTTATTTTTGCCTTTTTTATTACAAATCCATCACGGCTACATGTTCGCAATGGTCAGCATCCCAGAAGATTACGTAACTGCTACTCGTACATATATTTACAAGTATTATAACCCAGTGCATCCTTATTTTTTCCTTTTATTTTCTATGTATAGATTCTACATTTTTTTTGCCGCTTTAATCCTCTCACCTTCCAGGTACTTTTATTTTAAATTACCGCGTTTTTATTTCATATCTAAACACCTTATTCATGCTCCGGTACGATGTGAGATTAAAAGGCTAGAGGACCTGGAACTAGCAACAAAAATCAGATGAACTGTTAGTTTATTGTCCGGTTGTATCCGGTGAGATCCTGCCGTTATAATGTATCTCTATTACACCGTTGTTTGCTCAAATTTTAGTGAAACTGGTTTCGTTTAGGATCACAGATTTCTTCCAATTTCCTCGCATCAAATCGGGTTTTTAGCTTTTGTCGTTGGAACATAATTTCTTAAATGTTAACAAAAGCGTACATCCTGTGTCTTCTAACTTTTCACTTGAATTATCTTCGTTGTTGTTATCTGTCTCCTGCACATCTGAAAACTTTTAACTTAAGGGCCCCCCCTTAGAAATGATGATTTTCTGTCATCGGTTTTGAGATAAGTACATGGAAAAATAGCCTGAAGTGTCTACTTCCAGAATCTGTATTGCTTTTGATTGATTGAGAACGTGATTTTGAGCACGTTTTCTAAGAGCCTCGAAAAACCGGATCTTCAAATAATAGCTTTTTCCCGGATACTTGTGCAATTAAAATTTTTCCAAGCACACAGATTTGTAGAGCAAACGTTTCTGATAAAAACAGGACCTCGCACAACTCTGTTTGCTCTTGCATCAAAAAGTTACAGGCATTTTCCTAAAAGTCCTAAAACTGAGCATTTTATACAGCGTTTTCTCTACATGGAAGTTATACCTGAAGTGTGTCCCAAGATTTTTAATCACGGTTTGCCGTAGAGAGTTCATTCTTTTTTTGTTTAAAAGAGAAAAAGAAACTACATGGACTGACAAGCGCCGATTTTGAATTAGATCTTAGTTTTTCGTCAAATAGAGGATTTTTAGGAAATCCGGAAGGCTTTTCGGATTTTGGAGGTTGTTGGTTACCTGGAAAACCAATAAAGGCTTAATTTAAAAATAGGCTCCTGTCAGTCCATGTAGTTAGGTCTAGTTTAAAATAAAACAAACCCGAACTCGCCAGCTTGAAGTATATTAAAAAATGTTGGGACACACTTCAGGGTCCTTTTTGAACCTTGATCTCTGGAAAACTCCTGAACCGTAAGACTTGGAGAAAAAAAATTTTTTTCGTTCCCGTAACTCATTGTGCCTAACATTTCTGGAAAATTTCGTCAAGATTGGATGTACAGTGTCGGAGATAATTCCTGAGGGGAGCCTTAAGAGTAATATGATGAGGGTGCCTGATTTGTTCTCTTTCCCTATCAAGTATTAACAACGACAAATACATGGTGTGATTGAATCGTGCTATGTCACTTAATCATACTACTATCTTTGCATACTGCATCGGGCAAGGGACTAGTGCATCCCAAGACAAACGTTACTTGATAGGTAGTGCTATGAACACTAATATAATTAGAGAAAGAGTTACATCTTCCACTAAAAGTCATATTTTATTAGTAAAGCCTTGAAGCATCCTCATAACACTAATCATGTATTTTCAAACTTAGAGCTTTCACCATACCACTGTTTTAAAAAACGTCTTTTATATGTTAGCCCTGATTATAAGAAAATCCGATTATGTTATCTAATGGTGTGTGTTCATTTAAAAAGCATTTGGTTTCTCTTCTTCACTGTTATCTCCAACAACAAAAATACATCTTACATTGAAGCCATTTTAGTCAAATAAACGGGTCGTATTCCACTTCCCTCTACAGCTACAGCAGCTGAATATGTCATATAAACATAGGAGTTATCTGTTTGTACTTTCACCGAGTTTCTTGTTGTTGAAGTTGTCATTGTTGTACTTGTAGTCGTTATTTTTCGCGGCGTTAAAGTATTGAAGTTTTGTGGTCGCCATCGGCATTGAAATAATTTCATAAATTCACGACGAAAATCTTGTCCACTCAGAGTATAAAGAATAAAATTTATGGCATGTTTTGTACACCATAGACTTTCGAGAATATCAACAATTAGAAGTTTTACAACAGATGGTGTAAAATTATTCAAATACATAATTTTATTAATGCATATGTAAATCACTGATGGACAGGTGAGAAGCATAAATGCTAGAGTGACTGACAGCAACATTACCGTTACACGATGATTTCGACGATGAGATCTTTTATGAGTAACAGAGAGTTGAACGTTTGTTTTTATTGTGAATATGATTATTCCCACATTGGTAAATGCCATCAAAAGGAAAGGAATTACAGAGACAATAAGTATGTCAAATACAGGTATATAAAGACTAAACAGAAGTTCAAAGCCATCACGTGCGATACAAACGAATCGAGTTTCATTGTATTTTATAGAAGAATTTGATAAATTAATAGATAATATTACTGTTGTACCTAATATATGAAAATAGTATAAATTAAATAGACAAATTATGCAAATAAGAATCAACGTTGAAATGCAAACACGCCATCCCACCGATCGTCTATGATAATTATTTGTAATAAGAAAATATCTATCAAAACTAACAACGACTAATATCCAAGAACCAATATGCGATAATGCACTACTGAAGAAGATAAATGTCCGACAGATCCATTTCGATGTATTTCTCAAATCTTGATTAGTCAAATAACGATAAATGAAGCGAGATGATCGTGTATAAATAAAAAGAATGTCAAATACAGCAAGAACCGCCAAATACTGACAAGTAGAATTTTTCCAAAATTTTTTACGTAAAAGTATTTTTAGAGAAAGAACATTGCCAACAGTACCGAAAAAAATTAATAATGGATAGTAGTATCGAATAAGACCATGACGAACTTGGAAAAGCCATAAATCCGATGATTTCATTACTAAAAGGAGAAAAAGAAGTAGAAAAACAGGTGAAAAGAAAAGATGATTCATATAAGTTGTATCTTACTTGTTTGAAATAAGCAACAATAAAAAGTATAGTAGAAACAAAATATTTATTCTCTTTATTAAATATCGTATCTACAAATAGTATTCATGATTTTTACCAAGCCATGTCTATTTAAATCAACCTGTATATGCGACAATAAATTTCTTTTAGTTTTTTGTAAAAAAAAATGAAAAATTATAGTTTTATTTTGTCTCCCTTCCTTCATTTCTAAAGTGCTCAATAACACAACTTTGATGAAGATAAGATTTTCACATCCATAATTCAAAATGACATGAAGATCAAAATGAATTAGGGGATTTTCTCCTCGATCAAATAATATTTATTATAACCTTTCAAAAACTAATTACATTTCGCTATGAACGAACTCTAATGAAACGTGTGAAAACGTCAGCATGTACATGTGGTACTCAAACGATTGTAATCTTATACATTAGTAGTAGTATCTATATAAAATCAGTTCAGAATTACAAGCGAATTTTTCTAGAAAATTATAAAAAAAATTTTTGAAAATTATCTTTCAGTTTGTAATCTTTCCCTTAACTAGTTACTGGGTTATGAGAAAATCTTGTTTTAAAGAGTTTCATCTTATACTACATAAATTAGACAACTTTGACTTTGAAAGATTGATAAAGTTAATCACCTTGCTGAATTTGTTCTTTCTCAAACGTATATGTGGTTTTGATCTCGTCTATATAATAGTAAAAATCACAAGTCTCTACCTTTCATCTCTCGAACGTTAATCAGAAAATTACAATCATCAGTCTTTTTTGAAGCGGAGAGTAGTAACATCACAAAAATGTATCATTATTTTTTGGAGTATTCAACCGAAGCACACTTATTATCAATGACATTTATGACATCATTTATTGCTTCCTTTTCCGAGTTTTGTTCGCTCACAACAGTAACTGTTATCGGTTCTGAATTTGAGAATACATTTAATTTATCATAGGCTTTTGCTATTAGAGTATAGGTTCCGTTCATAGCGATTAACAATCGATGAGAATAACGTCCACTGTAATTTTCATCCGTACCTGGATTAATTGAAGCGCCTATTAAAGTATTTCCATTATAAAATTCAACTTTCTCAATTGAACCATCAATATCTTCTGCACTAGCCAAAATAACCAGGTTTATAGAAAAAATATACTGTGGACAAAAATCTACCAGAGAACTACTCATAAATGGAACTGTAATAATGAGGTCTGTTTTGGGATAATCAATTTTAACTGTTGGTTTAACGTTAAACGTGAAGTTTCGATAATATTCCGACTGATTATTAATTTTTGCCATTTGAACAGTGAATACAGGTAACCAACTATACAGTCCTTCATCCTGATATTGACCAATAATCAAAAAATTAGAGAAAAATGAAAAATGATTTGAGTTTCTATATGGATTTTTCTCAATTTCACTTTTCTCTCCACTAAATGTCACCTTTCCACCTTCATCTGTGTAAAACTGAAGTGGAGGATCTTCAGCAACATTCAGAGTGTAGCTTAACCATCGAATGCCGTAAAACTGGAAGTTTGCATTTACAATTGGATTTCCCTTCATATTCGTTGCATTGACACCAAATTGTTTTGGAAATAGAGTCCAAAACATGTTGCTCCATATTTTGGGCGTTATCACATTATCTGTTTGTTCATTGATACAATAAATCGAATGATCATCCCATGATACACTCAAATCATACAAGTAATTCATGATACTACCTACAGGATAATTATAGTAAACTCCCGGCCATAATGTATTCTTATCTTTATGTAAATCAACTGAATACAAATCGAATGCTCCACGACTATGACCCAATTCGTGACAGAGAATTCTCGTTGCTATAATACCGAATATTGTTTCACTCCATTGTGCTTCAGCATTCACAGCAAATCGAATCGAACGATTCATATAATCGGAGTGCATATTTTTCATCACTCCCCCATACGGTGAGATACTATAGATGACTCGCCAATTGTAACCATCATCTGCAAGTGGTACATTAAAATCAATATAATCCATTTCATTTTCATTTGCACCATGTTCTCTATAATATCGAAATTCACCTGGTGTAAAATTAAAATACGAATTGAAACGTTTTTCTGCATTATAAAATTCATTGACTTGTTCAAATTGCTGAACGATTTTCTTTTCTATTTCTTCATGACCACCATAATGTTCGGCAGTCTCCTCATTTATATAAATTTTAATTGGATATGTGAACGTTGGTTTGTCATCTAAATTAAAACTTATGAGATTATACTAGTAGCCATTTGACAGTAGTAACGTACATGTTTACCTACTCGTTTGTTAGGTATTGCCGTCTTTAACAAGTGCTTTTTACTTATAACTTAGTATTGTAGATATTAATACAGCAGCTAATTTGATCAGGAAAAATGTGTGGTAACAGATATATTAATAAAAAAATAAATTTGGATATTCTTATGTTAATATCTCTGTTACCACACATTTTCTTGATAATGACAAATATATTGTCGAACCGTTGAACTAAATAAAAAAAATTTTTATTACTAAAATACGATTCAAATTAGCTGTTGTATTAATATCTACAATGCTCAATTTATTGCCCTTAAATCGTAAGAACTTATAACTTACCTTTTATTATCATCCTTCTATAGGGTTGTGTTTTCTGATAAGTAAATGGTATGTGACAGATACACAAAAAACCAAGTACACAAATAGAATCCATCTCTCAACAGTGTTTGACAGAAATAACGATAGATAAATGACTATTTTCAGATATCACAATGAGAATTAGACTATTTATATATATATATCTATCTATTTGAAAAGTAACGGGCAGCTTGTATAGAACGAGACATTTTTATTTTTCAGACAATAGGATAAAGTTTGAAGAAATCGTTTTAGACCCAAAATATAGACAGTTTTCTACTCTACTAAATTTTTTTTCTGTTTCATTATTTGAAAAACTAACGCAAAGTGAGAAGCATAGATAGAAAACATAACTGTGCGACAGAGAGACCAGAGTAACAGATCTAATTCATTATTTAGTAATATTTCGGTTAGCTATCGATAGCAAATACTCCGCACTTCTCAGTACTCTTCCAGATTTGAAATATAGAGATCTCGTATTCAACAAAATCTATTTTATTGTATACTTACATCACATACGTTGGCTAGTTTTTTCGAATTTTTACGCTATCAGAAAGAAGAGATTGCAAAAAAATTATTTGAATGAGCAGTTGGAAATAAAGTTTTAAATATAAAGTATAATACTGCTATGGAGAGATTGCACTTCTTTACATCGAATTTGGACTTTTCTTGCTGAGAGTATTAGCCGGTTAGTGATCTAAGAATTATTCAAAAATTCATACTAGAGACGTATCTCAGAGACATTTTCTAAGAAGAGTTATTCATAGGTTTAAGAAAGCTGAAAATTACATGCCTTTGGTTTATCTGACACTTGAATTTATGCTACATACGAATAGAATGAAGTTTTTTCATTTAAGTAAAATCTACTTTTTAGAATACTTTGTAAGATAAAATAAAAACTTTTATAGAGTCATGTTGAGGAAAACGGATGTCATTGAATACAAATACTTTGAGATATGAATGTCTAAATTGGCCATGTTACGCTTAGAAAATTTTACTGTACAAAAAGACGAGATGGTTGTGTATTCGGCGCCGAGTCTAGTTAGAACTGTACAGCGAAATTTGTATCATATTGGAACCACCTCGTTGACACGTGAAATTCACGGGGTTTTCAGCATATTGTGGAACGTATTTTAAGCCGAAAATTACATACCTTTGATTTATCTGACCTGATCATGTCAGAGTAACGTGGCATGTACCTAAAATTTCCTTGAATCCATGTTTCAACAACAACTTAGATAAGTCCATCACCTGGTATACCGACACATGGGCGCAAGCGCCATTTGGATGGGGATGGGGGTGAGGATGAGTATCGATGAAGGTTAAACAAAAAGTGATTGCACTTGGATATGAGTAATATAGAAAAGCTCTCACATCGTACCAAGTTGATATACAAAAGGCATATGACTCTGTAAACAGAGAACTTCTCTGGAAAATTAGCAGAAATTATGGCTTAACGGAGAAAATCGTGTAGCTACTGCAGCTGGTTTACAGAAACACAAGAGCACACGTCCGGATTAACAGCTAGTTCTCGGACAGTTTCAATATTGAAACTGGTGTGATGTAAGACGGGGTTCCCTCCCTAGTACTATTCAACATCGTGTTTGATTTCATCATTAGGCGAGTCATCGAAGAAGTTGGGCTCACAGGGAGAGAGTTCGCTTGTGGTAGCAATGATTTTCACAATGGAGCACGCGAAAAGTACGAAAAATTTGATATTCTGTCTCTCACGTATGCGAAGAAGTTAGGCGCGAAGAAGTTAGGCTAGACAGAGAAATAGGCTCTAGGTTAACAAAGGCGACAACGGCGTTTAACATGTTGGGAAATGCAATTTGATATCAGAAAACAGTTTCTACCGATCCCAAACTGGGAATTTTCCGGTCGTGTGTGCTATCTGTGCTGCTGTAGGATAGCGAAGTGTGGACACTCACTGTAGCTCAAGAAAACAGAATTAACACTTTCTACATGAGGTGTTTGAGAATGATACTTGGCCTCAACTTAGACGATCGTGTACCGAGTGAAAGGATTGTAGAGCTATCTGGTCAACCTCAAATGGAGAATATTATGCGGCGGAACAGATTACGATGGTTTGGCCATGCCAACCGAATGGAAAATGAGAGAAACGAGATATTATTAGTAAAAATGATTATGTTCTCCTATCTCCCAGATAACACTCGTCCTGGAAACGGAGAAAGAAAACGATGGGAGACTAAAATAATGGAAGATATTGAAAAATTCGGGATTAAAAACTGGAGAATAGATTCAAACGACAGAGATAAATGGCGAGCATTGATTAACAAGGCCGTACGTGTTAAATGTGTGCATTCAAACATTAACAGCATAGTGGAGGAGTACAAGAAACGCGCAGATAGAAGAAGATCGGACGAGGCGACTGCAGCTCGCGGAGATATCGTGTGTAAAATGACGGAGATACTGGTGAAAGACTTAAGCAATCATTACGTATATCCACAATGCGGAAAACAATTTAAACCGCAAGGATGACGGGATATGTGAAGACATGTGTCAAAGACTGGTGCAAAAAGAATAAGATTAAACTACAAAAAAAGTAATGCGAGAACAAAGTGAGACTGTCTCAATGTGAACGAACGAGCCGGAAACCGAAACAGACACCTTAACTTTTGATGTTTTTTGAATTTATTGTTACGTTTATTCATTCTCACCCTACACTGCAAGGTAATGGGTCTAACACATACATACATTGTTTAAAGAAAATTTTATCGTTATACATCATACGTTAACAAATGCACTCTTACTGACTGCCGTCAAAAATAGTTTTCAGTTTGGGGTTAAACATTGCAAATGATAGAGTGGAGTGTATAAAATAAGACCAGTTGCAGTTGAAGATAACAGTTACTATTTATTCTATTGATAACGTCGATACATCTATTGAATTAATCGATTCAATTGGCGGTAACGATATTGATTCAACAAAATCGAAAAAATGAGAAAGAATCTCGATTTTCTCCTACACAAATTGTCTGGTAGACCTCGATTTCAGAAAATGATTTTTGTATAAATAAAATTTTTGTGGAAATCTCAGAAAAACATCTAATCAATCTAATTTTTACATAACACATAATGGAATTATCTATCCTTTCTTGAGTGTCAATATATATCTGATGTGCAAAAATAGAAATGGCTGAATGCATCTTTTTTGTGACACAGTTATAATCAGGGAGAGAAAAGAAAAATACTACCAGTCAGAGCGCCAAGCCTAAAATGCATAATAGAATAACGTTGTCCTCAATTCAAAATCTTAAATTTTGCCCACATTATGTCTGAAAGAATGTATCTCAATCAGAGAATTTATCCCTAAAATATTTT